ATAAACATATAGAATCTTATATGAATATAGATGAATCTGACCAAGAGGATCAAGAATCAAATTCAGATATAGAAACTGACAATGATGATATAATAGAATCAAGGTTAACATCACCTTTACCTCTAAACGAAGAGGAATTATCCAATAAAAGATTATTAGCCAATAATAAAGGATTTGAAGAACTTAATTGTAAGTAATTAATAGATACTGACAAAGTTATTAGCTTAAGAATTCTGAATATTAATTAATATTTAACTAGACAATTAGCAAATTTTAGAAAAACCAGATGAACTTCAAGGAATTTCAAGTGAATTTGAAGCTGCTGCTTGGTTAGCTAAACACCTACGTATATTTGATTTAGCATTTGAGATATACAATGCAATGTCACGAACTTTGAAAAATTCTCAAGAAACTTTATCAAAATTAAAGTTTTTGTTGAGTGATAGAACGTCATTAATTACTTTAGTGCCAGATCAGAAATATATTTGTTATTTTTTTGCAATATTTTTTTATTTATTTATTTATTTATTTATTTAATTTTAACTATATAATTATAAATTTAAATAGACAATGATAGCAAACTTAGAACTTGAAGCAAAAGTATTATTTTTAAGAACAAGAAATAATACTCCTGCATTGTATACTGAATTAGCATCTGCTGTATGTGGTATCTCCAAAGTTGACAAGCAAATGCTAGCATTAATTAAGAAGGTTGGTAGTTGCTTTGATGATTATCGTTATCATCTTCTTGCAAAGCTTTGAAAAGAGCTGATGAATGTTTGAATCAATTTGGGTAAGTTTTAAAAATAAAAAAATAATAAACGTTGCTATTTACCACTAGTGGTAATATCACTGGGATACTATATCTCAAAAACTTACTTGCTAACTCATATCAGGAGTATTAAATAAAAATGGTCAGAACTCTAAAAACCTAAAAACAATATATAAGAAGTGGTGGTATCACCACTAGTGGTAAATACTAAAATTAAAAATTAAAAACTAAGCAATTATTAATATTAACTATCAAATTATAGTAATATTGCTCCTACCGATGCCCAACTTCTGGACTTTATTTCTGAGGATATATGGTGTGAGATACTTTCTCAATTTCTTAAAGCAACAAAACAGCCTGCTCTTCATAGTAATAAAAGAATATAGAATATCTTGGGTAATTTTGTTCGAGAAGCTATTAAGAAAATTATTATTTTAAAATTAGAGAAAACTGATATGAAAGTAGCACTTTGTAGTTGTGATGCAATTACTGTCAACTTGCTAATTTCAACTGTACTTGGTGTTGTTGCTCGTTTGCCAGTTCAAGATTTATTAAAATGTAAAACTGGTCAGCAAAGAAGTAAATAAAGATAAGAATAGCAGTAATAGTTATATTTACTATTATGTAAATTAATTATTAAATGCTTATTGATAGCAATAGTTACTATTATTACATTACTGCAGGTAAAAAATTTAAATAAGTTTCAATTAGATATATTTTTAATACATATACATTAGAGACATATTAGATTATTTAATCAAATTTAAAAGTTTTTTTTTGTTATAATTTGAGAATGGTATTACTAAATTTCTGAATTAAGAGATATAACTAATTCTGATTGTTAAGTTTTAAGTATGACTTTGAATCGTAAAAATTTTAGTACTGTAGTATAAAATTTAAAAAAATTAATAAAAGACAGAATAAAATAAGAAACTTTTATTCTTATTTAAATAAATAACCTATTTATTCTTTATATATCTGCGATAAATCTCTATTTCTTGTATATATTAATATAATATTACTTCATCTAACAATTTTGTAATATAAATTAAATCTAATCACAAATTACAAAAAATTTATTTTTACTAAATTAAATATATGTACATACCTTATAGAAATAAGCAAGCACTACAGTTTTTATACAGTCTTATAAAAAAATTCATTTTTAATAAATTTCTGATCATTATTAGTAGCATGTTCTTGATTGTAATTTTGCATGTATGTAGGTAAAAAATAAAATTTTGAATATAGTGAATACATGAGATTGGATAAATTCAAAGAAATTGTTGATTATTTATTATTTGTTTGTAATATGGGCAGTCTAAAATCAAGTCTTTTGTATTAGTTGCTTGAAGCCATTTTAAGACAAAAAAATTGCAGATTCATTATTATTTGCTTGATATTGTAAAATCGCTTGTATTTTTGCATATGTAAAATCTTCACTTTCTTCTTCAATTTTAATTATTTCACCAACATGAAATTTAAATTGAGTTGATTTTCTATCATTTTCAATGATAGTATATGAAATATAATCAAAAAATTCTAATTTATTATTAAGAAAAGCACTTTGTAAACTAAAATATTTTGAATATGATATATGTAAATCATGAAAAAGAGGATGCTGACTGCTTAGCTTTGTCAACCATCCTTCAATATTTGCTCTTGTTTTTGGCTATTTATTTCATAATACTATATCTATAAAATTTTTTGGTATCAAATTTGAGATAATTTCAATTTCTTCAATATCATCATTGTCATTAATTTTTTAGTTTTGCTCTGTAGTATATTGTTTGCAAAGACTTGAATATAATGAAATATCTGGAGAAATATTTGATAATTTATTTATAGTTGTTAGAAAATGGTAATCTTTGTTACCATCAAATAAGTGAGTTAATGCAAATGTGGTATTATATCACTGAAGGAGATCTAGTTTAATATTTTTGTAATTAGTATGTGATACCATATTTTTGTATATTCTGTATACTATTTCTTTGACTCTAACAGATGTGTTCACAAGAGTTGCAAATGTACGAGCATGTTGTGGCAAATGGACATTTATATGAACATTAGGTAAGTTTTCAAATATATCTGAAAAAATCTTCAAAAAACCAATTCGTTCTTTTTCAAACAAACTGTGAAGCTCCTTATAAATGTCATTTGTTATTGTTGTTGAGAAAGCCAACTTAAGTAGTTTTGCTTCAACTACCCAAAGTTCTATTAGTTTAATAATAGCATGATCATTACGAGTAAGCTTATATACCTTTTAAATATTCAATTATTTCAGCCTTTAAATGTAAAGGTGATAAAAAGTAACATAGAATAAATGGTATTAACATTGCTAGGCGTAAAGTATCTGAAAATGATGATGGATTAGCGAATTTGGCATCTATGACCATCTTGCTAGTTTTTTGATACTTTTCCAACACTTAAGCCAAGCTACTTCTCTATTAGTATTTAAATATCTAAGAGTTATATCTAGAAGACATGTAGCTTTACTAGCAAGTATATGATAAGCATCTTGCGGTGATTGTAAATATCTATCCCAATAAAGAGTATCAAGAACTGGCTTTGCACTAAGTCCATATTGACTAGATAGTTGTCGACGAGCAGAGTTTGTTTGTTGCTGTGCAATTTCATTATATTGTATATTGGTTAAGTGGTGAAAGTGTATATTCGCAACAAAGTCAAAGTTAGAGTTTGTTAATTGGCTACTAGATACAAAACAAGTTCTGCAACTATAATTTGCATTATATCTAAGCACACCAGCAAGGTCATTACCTTGAGGCAAATTGGCTGTAATACAGCCAAGTCTACCAATAAGCCATATTTCTCCTTCCAAAGTATTTATAATTTTTTCAGATTGTAATTGGCGAATATTATCAAGAATTGGTTTAATAAAATCTTTAATAAGCCCCAAATAGAACAAAGCCAAGTAGAAAATGATTTTTGAGTAGCTTTTGTAAATCAAGCAGCATATTTCCAATAACTAAATAAACTTCTCCTAATGAATGATATGAATTACAAAATATTCTAAAATCATCAAATAGATATCAAGAAAAACCTTTTTAATACAGTCAGGGATTTTACCATATTTGGTAATTAACAATTGCGCCTTATTTGGCAATGATCATCAATTAGATCATTCTAGTTCTTTTTCTAGATTGTTGCAGATCATTCTACGTGTACAATGATTGACCAATCAAATTAATCAAACCAAGAGCCTATATTAATCGGTTTCTTAACAAGACTTCAAAAATACCGAAATGCTTTAAGTTTTTTT